AATATCCCACGCCTTTTGCAGGTTTCATGGACAAGGAGACGGACGAGTCCAAGAGCAAACCCTACGGCGGAGTGCTTTCGGAGGCTGATGCGGATACTTCCAAGACATACCCTACGCAAGCCGACCGGAAGCGCTTCGATGACGCTCGGATCAAGGCTGAGGAAGACTGGAAAGCCAAGCAAGCCGCTCTTTACCCACCTGAGCCGATACGGTCACACAAGCAAGCAGCCACTGCAAGCAAAATCAAGTGTGTTAATTTTGGCGGATGGGAGATCGACACTTGGCATGCTGCTCCCTACCCGGAGGAGTATAGCAAGAACAGGGTGCTTTACATTTGCGAGTTCTGTCTCAAGTACATGAATTCCGACTATGTCGCGTGGCGGCATAAGGTGCGTGTATCCCTGTTGTTATCCTAGCATTACTAACAAGCCTAGCTCAAATGCCCAGCAAAACACCCACCTGGCGATGAGATATACCGCGACGGCAAATACTCTTTCTTCGAAGTCGACGGTAGAAAGAACCCTGTATACTGCCAAAACCTCTGTCTGCTTGCCAAACTCTTCCTCGGCTCTAAAACGTTATACTATGACGTTGAGCCATTTCTGTTCTATGTCATGACGGAGAACGACCAGTTTGGCTGTCATTTTGTTGGCTACTTTTCCAAAGAAAAACGACCAAGCTCACTCAATAATGTCTCGTGTATCCTTGTGCTACCCATTCACCAGCGCAAAGGTTATGGGCAGTATCTGATTGAGTTTTCCTACCTACTCACCCGTGTGGAGCGCAAAACTGGTAGTCCCGAGAAGCCTCTCAGTGACATGGGTCTTGTAAGTTACCGCAAGTACTGGCGGCTTGTGCTATGTGAGGAGCTACTGCAACAGAAACAACCAATTAGCATATCAGCCATATCCGACCGCACAGGCATGACTGCTGACGACATTATATCCGCACTGGAGGGCTTGCGGGCCCTGGTCCGCGATCCTGTCACCAAAAAGTACGCACTACGGCTCGATCTGGAGTACTTCAAGTCCTACATTGAAAAGTGCAACGCCGCAAGCAATCCCAAGATTAATCCCGAATGTCTTGTCTGGACTCCGTACGTTATGGGTCGACTTGGTCAGTATGAGGATGGTCCAGCTCTGCAGACAGTCCAACAGCGCGACGAAGGCGAAGAGAAACCCGCAGCAGAAGAGGGCGTGCAGATGGATGTTGCAAAGGCGAATGGCAATGGTGGAGACACCGAACCCTTCCCACCTGCTCCTGCGCATGCGCTTGCTGCCGAAGATTCGACCAACGGCGGCTCCCCTGCTCCCGGAACACCCCTCGCAAACGGATCTACAATCGCTCTAGCAGGTTCACACATGGAGGAACCTGCAATTCCACCAACCCGCTACGAAATCTTCCCACCCATCCCCGGCCAACCAGCTCAAAAACGGCGTCCAGGCCGCCCATTCGGGTCGCGCCGACGAACCAGCACACCAAACCGCATCCGCAATACCCCCATGGCGATCCACACTGCGCCCGTCTCGAAAATCCAACTCTCACCCAGCCGCGGCGCAAAAGCCCAAATGTCACCCTCAGCCAACGGAGGCGGCCTCACCCCTGGGACCGTATCCCTGCGCCGCACCCGCAGCCGCCTCGGCGAAACCGTCACAAACGGCGATGAAGTCGAGCACGATGCCTCACGCGGTGGCGGCGCCGTAAAACCCCTTACACCCAATGGTGGCAGACGCAGCACACGTAGCTCGGCCAGCTCATCCCGCGCGAGCTTCGATCTCAAGGGCAAAGGGCGCGAAGTACCAATTCATGAGGAAGATGAAGAGGATGAAGATGAAGATGCAGAAGGAGAAGAGGAGGAGGAAATGGAACGGCATGAGGAAGAGGAGGAGGAAGACGAGGATGTGGATGGCGAGTACGACGAGGATGAGGGGTTGATGGATATTGATGCTGAGGGAGAGGATGATGATGATGTTGTTATGGGGGGTGCGTGATTCCTCTTGTTTTTGTTCTTCTTCTCTATATCCCCCTCCCGTCATTTCTTCTTACGTGCGAGTGTTTATCGTATTATCTTCTCTCCGTGCTTGGGCACTAGGTGGAGATCGAAATGATTCTCTTTTTTTCTTCTCTTTTCTGGTAGTTCGTTATCGAGTTGAGCGAGGAGAGAAGGGAATAACAGTTATCCCCTTGTTTTTTTCCCCTCTCTCATCTCTCCTCTATCTTTTTCAGTCGATTGTGGTTTCGCTTGTACCACTATTCTTACTCACTCTGTCTTGTCTTATTTTGCTTCTACGCTTTTTTTTGGTTGTTTATTTGCCAGCTTGTATGGCAATTTTTGGTTGGAGATGATACCTTGGGAAACTTGTCGTTTATGGGAATGATTGGAGTATTGGGAGGTTTCTTCTTTTTTTTTGCTCGTGTGTGTGTAGGTGTGGATAGATGTATGTCAGGAATCATCGATATGGGTTTTTGCCATTTGGATTATTATTTTTGCATAATGTCGAAATAACTAGAGAAGTTTTTGTTTAAAACTGACGGCGTGACTGGAAATTCTAGTGCTTGTGCGCTGGTTTTTAGCTTGGATTGTACAAGGAGTGAAAAGTGGGGATGTGGGTGATGGAATAGTCTCTTCCCCTTTCTTTGCTGACAAAGACGAAAGGTCGGATACGAGAACGTGGTGGGAAGTTTTGTACTTGGCGCAGTTTATCCGACTACTCTTCCTCATCCGGCATCAACACCACTTCTTTCCGCCTCGCTGTGCAGATTTCCACCTGAAAGAAATACAGAGAAAGTGGGAAGGGAGAAGATTCCCAAGATAATTCAGTCCATATTACATATAACAACAACATCGCATCAGCAAAACCAACTTTTCCTGTACATCCTCAAACAACCCCAAGTACACCATCATGACCACCAACTCAAAGCCCACACCAACGTCACCATGATCCTTCCAGATGAACCAAGTAAAAGGGACACGTCATTTTGAAAAACAAAAAAGAGTAGTTGATTACATCTAATGCTCCATCATATCGCCATCCCATCCCAATCGCACCCAAGATCCCACACACGCGTTCCACGAAAAAAGAAAAACACAATTCCCAATCGCTAAAACCCATTTCAGTTTCGCAAAAAAAAAGTGTCATCGAAACATGCTACACGCTCATGCCCCCATATCAGTGATTCTCTCTCTCTCTCTCTCTCTCTCAGACATTCCCACACACACCAGTGCCAAAGTTCCCGAACAAAAAAAAAAGTCAAGAAAAGAGGATAAGACGTTGCAGCCAAAAAAAAAACCCCAGCTGCAACTCTCCAAAAACGCAACACCAACTCCACCCGTTAGTTTTAAACCCTTATCTTAAAGCCTTTTCCCCCTCTGCAATAACCGAAAAAAAGTGTGTCCTGATTTCCCCCTCCATGTACTACCACGTCTCACGACCCCATAAACGACGGATCATACGCTAGATTCCATGCATAACTCGCATCATGTCTGACGGGCGTCTGCAACCCTTGGTTCTGCATATTCTGGCCCTGCAGTCCCTGAGATTGCAGATACGGGGTATTAACAAACGGACTGACGTTTTGATAGAAGCCAGACATGAGACTGGAAGGGTTAGCGCTCTCGACGCTATCTTCACGGCGTTTCTTGGCGAGCGGTTGTTGTTGTTGCTGCTGCTGCTGCGACTGATCGGAAGTAGGGTTTCCGGCGTCGATACTGCGCTTGTTGCTCATCATGCCGCGGGCTTCTTTGCGGAGACGCAGACGGACGCCTTGGTCGGAGAAGGCGCGGGAGAGGTATGTGGATTCTTCCAGCCCCTTGAAGTCTTTGGGGAGGACGACGTTGAATTTGTCGGATAAGACGTGCCCGAGGCATTGGTATGTACCATATTCTGGGGGATCGAGGGCGGCGCCTTGGTAGCGCTCGAGGTCTTTGTGTTGTTCGAGGTCGGCGAGGGTGAAGTAGGAGGGTTGGAGTTCGTAGAGGGTGAAGCGGAGGCGGTATGTGCCTTGGACTTTGATGGAGATGTCGCCGAAGATGAAGAAGGCGCCGTCTTTGTTAGTGACGTCTTTGAGGCGGTGAAGCGATGAGACGAGCGTGCCCGTTAGGATGTCAAAGGGTGTGCCTTCGATTGGCTCGTCTTTGTCGTGCTTGTAGAGCGAGACGCTGACGAAGAGGTAGGGGTTTTGTAGGAACTGTTGGCTGGGGTCTATCTCTGAGCTCACTTTGAGTTCGAGCATGGGCGGTGGGTCAAGTGGCTTCCTGAACTTCTCCTTGCCCTTGACGGTGACAAGAGCCTCTTTGGGCTGCTGCCGTACTTCGAGGAAGCATGATGATGGACTCAGTGCGCCTGATGGCGTTGTATTTGTGATGGGAAGCGAGTATATCGGCGACGGTGTGGGGATATGGGGTTGTTGATATGGGACATAGGCTCGTTGTGATGGATATGATGCTTGCAGTGAGTAATTATAAGAGAACGACATTGTCGTGACGGTGCGGTCGTGGTCGGGGTTCTAGAACCCGCTTCGTCTATGGTTGTGTCGGTGGCAGTTGCAATGGTAGTGGTAGTGATGGGGTTTGTTGTGGTAGTGGTCGGTCAAGGTAGTGGCTACTCTTCGTGGGTGTGGTTGTCGAGATGCTGTGGTTGTGGCTATGAAGCTGGTGTGCAAGTGTTCTATGGTAGTGCAGCCGACCTGGGCTGTGGTTGAAGGCAATGGCGACCTATATAGTGCCCCAGAATATTGAGAACAGGCGAATTTGATGATGTATCGATAGGCGGTAGCGAACGTTGAGGTAATAATCCAAGAGGCCGGGCCAATCGAACAAAGAGCAGAGCGAGGACGATAAGCCGACTGGTAATGGTGAATGTGGTATGAGCCGTAAAGAGACTGTTCGCATGGGCGCTACGCCTATCAGAGCCCTCTGTTTGTAGGGCAGCGGTGCGGAATGGTGCTCCCTGACCTGGAAAGTCCAGTCGAAGAGAGGTAAAGTGCCGTTGCCCAGTGCGATGATTTGTGCACTGCCGATTCTGGATCTGGGGTGCACCACTGAGAAGCCTCGTTATGGTAACGGTTTGGGCGGCAGTGGGGATGGTGGTCGGCCTGTTCAGTGGGACCCAACTAGAGGCCCGCTGGCGCCTGCGAGGGATGACTCCACACCCAACGGTAATATCCAAGTCGGAAATGGTGCAGCTGTTGAGAACAGCAGCAGTAGCAGTAATAGTAATATTAGCAGCAGCAGTCTGTGTTGCGCCTGTGATGATGAGTATTCGCAGTGTGCGCTGCTTCATGTATCGTAATGACCAAGACTTTTTCCACGATACATAGCACCTAGGTACAAGTACAAGGTGAAGGTGGTAGCAGGTAAAAGCTACTCAAAGGGGATAAGAGGCAAAAGGGTCCTCTTGTGGTGGTAGCGAACCGTGGTAGAGAGGTAATTGGTGTAATTCCAATCGTAGCCACGGACACGGGCGCTTTCCAACGGCGTCGAAGGGGGGAAATAGGGCTACGCTGGTGGACCAAGTCAGAAGCGATGGCGAGCCGGGGAAAGAGCTTTTGGGCAGTGTGTGATGAGTTGTAAAGGCGAGCAATGGAAGACTGAAATACACACAGCTCTGAGAAGAGTGAGGTCTGATAGCTCGAGAAGAAGCAACGTACAAAGGTAGTGCATGCAGTAGGAGAGCTGGCAAGCGTACTTTGAAGCGTCCGTCAGAATCGGGGCTCCTCTACAGACGTCGTACGGGTCCGTGGCGGCTTTGCTAATGATTCGCTACGCAGGCTCTAGTCTCTGGGAGCAACTTGTGCCGAGCGCGGCCGATCAAGGTTGTAGGGTCCTTGACTAACGTGCGTGCTAAGGGAATGAACGAAGGCGGCGTGGATCATGCGAACAAGCTCTAGTGTAGCCAATGGCAAGAGATTCTGGGGGTATTACTTCTTTTGTAGCCACGGTTACATCCAAGACTAGTATCTTTCGCTTGTTGACCAAGTGTCGGTGGATCCCGCTGCTGCTGCCCGTGAGAAACCCCTGAAAGTAGTGATGATGTGTTGGATGTGTGCTGGGCCGTCTTGGAACAGGCCGGTCGGACGGTACAGTGGAAAACGAATGTGCTCTGGGCGATGACGACGGAGTGGGAGTATGCAACGAAGACGACGAGGACGGAGGGCTGGCCAGGTGGTATGCGCATGTGCAAGCGGGCGAATAACGGTTGGACAGAAACAAAACGAGCGACAAAGATGGACTGGGGCAGGGGCAACAGCTGTCTTGGGAGGGCAGCAGCAGCGCTGGACGTCGAGAAGCACTTTTGAATAAAGTCGCAGACTCAGCAGGTGTTGTTTTGCAGCTTGGTTGCAGCACCAGCCTGTCTGTGCTATCAGTTCCGAGCGAGGGTGTTCCATGCAGCCGAGCGATGAAAGACTAGGACAGCACAGACGGCGCAGCGGCAGGACCTGAGTAGCAAGGAAGGCCTGGTAGTGCTTGAATCCAACGGTCATCCCAGGTTTGGGCAAGGCAGGGCACTGTCGACGGATATTGAACGAGGGCCCCGGTTGCGTGCGGCGGGAGAGCCCCACGCTCGTAAGCTGGTAAACACCCAGAGCAGGAACACGGGATTTAGCCATCTGGAACACTTTAATTGAGGAGGCTACATATAAACTCCCGTCCACGCCCAATATACCGCCATGTGGCCGTTCAGCCAGGCTGTGATGCGCGGCAGTTGGAGACGACAGACGCGAGCGAGGCCAACAATGACTGCGGCCGGGCGAGTACACGACGAGTCCTGAACACGTCCCCAGACACATGGCGGCCAGCACGCTGAGAAGGCCGAGGAGGGCCTGAAGGCAGCCCCCGGTACGTGCCTCTTTTTTGGCCTCGAGGCTCCAAGAGTGACAGACGGGGTGGAGGCTGGTACACGGCGACACAATCATGATGGCGTTTCACAGCACATGACGGCACACAGGCACATAGACACATGGCGACATCGTACGTGGAAGCAGACTACCTGTCGTCAATGAGAGGCTGGGCACGCACAGAGAGCAGTGCATGGGCGGTGGGTATTGAGCGGCTGAGGCGCATAGACAGCGTAAAGGCCCCAGGAATGACGCACGGCGGGCGCAGCCAACGAGGTCAATAAAAACAGACAGCAGCAAGAAGCTGGGGGCTGTGGCGGGGGGGAGCAGAGAGAGTTGTCCAGAGGAGGAGGCGGCCGTCAACGAGAAGCATGTGGGGAGGAGGGATGATCGCCATGGAGCATGTTTGGTGGCTGGGGGGGGGTCTGTGGATGGTTAGCAGGGATGGGGGGTGATGTGCAAGCGAAAGACTGCCAGTCGCGCCGTTCGAGTGGCCCAAGGAAATTCTACGACGTTGCACTGTGTGGCCCGCACCCCCGTTCACCATCCCTTTAGCCACCAGGCCGGCCAGCAAATGAGCCTGCTAGCTCGGCAGCCTTCCTCTCTGACAGCAGCGCTAGATGTCGCCATGGCCCTAGGCGCCCTCTGCCCGGGAACTGCATCGCCACGCCTGATCGTCCATCGCCATGCCTTGCCATCCCATCTCCGCCATTCTCGCCCTTGCGCGCAGTGCCTGGGCCACCGCCGCCTGTGCTCACGTGGTTGGCGCTTTCACCCTCCGTGCGCTCCTTGGCCGCCCCCCGCGCAGTTCCCGCCTAGCACATGACCGCCCCGCGCCATTGCCGCTCTCCATATGTCGCCAATATTATCCCAACACCCGCCTTGTATGCGCTTGATTTACTTTTTCGCCTGCTATTAACCCATATCCACCGCTGCCTGCGCAATACCGACATGTCACCACCGACCCCCCGACGCCCATGACGCCCACCAATTCGTACAATGCTCGTGTACTGGCCATCCATGACAAAAACATGCCCTCTACAACGCACACGTTTACAGCAGGGATCGCACAGATGGATCGTTGTCCCGCTTTGGCATCCATGTACACATCTATTTGGTCCCACAATCCGTCACTGACGCCCATATTCCCCTCGTCAAGCCAAAAAAAACTTTACTCCACTCCAAAAACCAATCTGGACCGGCTTCGGCTTCTCGAGCTGGCTTTGACAAACCTGCTGGCCACCCCCCTTCTTGAACCAATGTGGGGTCATTGAATGAGTGTAGCTTGCACTTGCATGCTGTACTTGCCACAGGAGCCTTGGAAGTCTCTCTTTCCCTGCGTCCCACCTACTCGCATACTAGCAGTGCTCGGCCCTCACACGGAAACCGGTGATTCCAGCTTGAAACATGCGACCGTGTGCAGTACTCGGACTTGGACTATGCCGTAGACAGCAAATGTGCCTCATGCGTCTACGCTTGTGCCGCCCCCGTAACTGCCGCACTGTCCGGAGAGATGAGAAATCAAAACGAGCACTCTTGCACTAGCAACCACGGCAGCACCGCGTGATGAACATGCTGCGCTCTTTTACTGCACCTACACTTGTCATGCATCTGAGCTAACAGACCAGTGACATCAATCGACCTCACTGGCTCCGTATCATGTGTACAGACTCTGCACCGGACGCCTGAATCGACCTCAAGTTTGCGGTCAAACATGTACCTCGAAGTACTTTTTCCACACTACCAAAAGAATGTAGGGGGGAAGTGTCTATCTTGATGTGAAACTCGACAATGACTAGTCGTGCCACACACACTCGTACTACTACCTCTGCCTGGGAAAGACGGCGCTCGTAGCCTCATGCACCTGACTGAGTCTTGGCAAGATAACATTCGACATGTAGGTACGTACTGGGGCCTACTCGGCACGCCATTCGTGCAAAGCCCAAATTTGTGGACTCCACCGGACTCGGGAGCAGCTCCCACAACGTAATCATAGCCCACAACGTTTCAGCTCACCCGTTTTCCATAGACTACTGTCACACCTATTTCCTGTGGCAAGAGGGTACCGCGTGACAAGTACTCTGAGGCAGTCTTGTCTACGCCTCCTCACATTCTGCTCTAGGTCCAGCCCATCGGTCGATGCGAGACCTTCTCGACTTGCTGTGGGTCATGCAATGGAGCCAAGAAGCTTTGGTAAACGAAGTAGAGTACACGCACATTGTCACTGGTTCCACACCAAAATACCCATGATCCCGGGAACAAAGGACAAGATGCAGCAGCCGGTCTCGACACCGGTCCTCAAACCCTACCACTCCATTGGCTCTGAATGTTTTCCGGAGATACCGCAGGCCCAGTTTCCTCGGAGCTGCCTACGCTAACTGGACTAGACGGGGGAGGGGTGCTGGGCTGAAGGTAAGGGAAGAAAATCTGAACTGATGGACTGTACGTACACGGAGACACCGCCAAGTAAGCTGATAAGTAGACTGCATTGCATAAGCTCATGGCGAGTCACGATCATGAGACTGTTCAGAAAAAGGAGGCAAATACGATAGACAGTCTCAGTTGCTTCTGTACAGCTGCGTAAAAATGACTCGAATGGCTAGCTGTCGTCATCTTGCCCTTTGCCCCAAGCACCAGCAAAGACTCGGGCATGCTATTGGCCACTGCCAACCCCAACTCGATACCTCTCTACCACGGGTCAGGCTTCCAACGGCGTCGATTTGGGCCCGGCGTTGAAGCTCCAAGACCCGGAGTCCGCCGCGGGTGTGTAAGCCACACACACACCCTACTCTACTCACTCTCTCCCTGTGCTTTGCGTAGCTTGCCGCTGATCAACCATTTTTCTTTACTGCACGTGCGGCTGTGCAGCCACACTTGCTTGTGGGATCCCCCCATTGACGGTGGGCGGAGGCTATCAGGGTCCAAACATGTTCACTGCCCCCGTGTTCCCCGTGTGGCTACGTCAGTTTCTCGAGTCGTATCATAAGCTTCTCACTCTGGGGCGGTGCAGTGTATGAGTCGGACTGCTTGATGCCCGTGTCATCTATAATCGTGGTGCGGTAGTTTGAGTACAGGGCCGCGACTATGTACTTCATTTCTATGTCCACGTCAGCATATTGGGTTACCTACTCAGCTTCTGAAACTAGTAGGAATTCAAAGTCACTTTCTCCCACCTTCCCCCCTCCTTGTGTGGCTGTGAAGAAGGGAAGGGGGGGACATGGGACTAGTAGACACTTACGGTACACTGCCAAGTGGCTTCCCACACACATTCGACCACCACTAGTACACACAGTGTAAGCGTACGCCAGCTCGAATTACGTCAAGCAACAAGAAAAAAAAGGATTATACTAACCTCCCAAATGCCCAAAACCATCGGCTCTCCATGTCCCTCCGCTTGTCGTCGGCCACTTTGTCGAGTCCCAACCAGCGATCTGGCCGCCATTCACTTGCACACTCGTACACGTCGTCGTTCAGATGTAGCAGGCCGGCGCTGGCGCTCACCCTGACTCCGCCCGGAACATGGTACGATTTCTCGTCTGTTGGGCCAAGCCGGCAGCCTTGCGGGGGCGTGAAACGCGGTTGTGGGCCGGGAATCGCAGAGTGAAGACGCAGGGTTTCCCAGATGACGGAATGTAGCAAAGGAAGGGCGTCGACGGCTTTCGGGTCGGGCAGATTAGGTGCTGAGGATGCTGCCAGGCGGGGAGATAGGCCGAGGAGCTCGTCCTGGAGACGGGTCTGGATATCTGGGTGCTTGGATAGCTCGTGGACGACGTAGTCGAGCGTTATACCAGAGGTGTCGAAGCCCGCGGCCAGATGATCCAGGACTTCACTTGCCATGGCGGTAGGATCCGGCAGGCCACCCAAACTCTTACTTGCTTCCTTTGCCATGCTGTTCTGCAGCTGCTGATAGACTACAGGCCGGTCCTCGACCCCTGCGGCGGCGACGCCAGCATCCAGCACACGCGTGGCCTCATCGCACATTTTGGTCACCCATCTCTCGATCTTGCTGTTTGCCTCGTCGACCCATTTGGGTGAGAAGCGGTAGCCCAGCCATTTCTCCGCCAGGCTAGTCAGGCGCGGGAACTCTTGCGGCCAAAAGTTGAAAGATCGCCGTGAGTAGTAGAGGTCCAAGAACCAGGCGAGTTGCTGGGGGTTCTGGATTAGGTTCGACCCTGCTCGCAGTCCGAAGATGTAGGACGTCACAATATCCATGGTTGTTGCACTGAGCAGTGCGTAGATGTTCAATACTCCCTGTTCGGGTCCTGCGTATACGGACTCTAGATACGGCAGGAAGCGCTTGTACATGATTGTCGATGCCTGTACGAGCAGCGATTCACTAGCAAGAACATGCGACTTGCTGTAAATGTTGCTCAGCATACGCTTTCTCTGCGAATGCAGCCTATTACTGCCCGTGGAAAACATGTTGCCGGTTCTGCCAATTCACGCGTCAATGCCCGCTAAAAAAACCATATTGCGATTGTTTTTTTTCAAGTCTCAAACAGGGCAGTTCATTGCTCACCCGCTATAGTTTGTAAAAAACGAATACCAATTATACCCGTTTTTCGCATTGACTTTTTCGAATCCCCCGCCATAGACATCGCGGATGCCACCCTTGACGCAATTGATACTGATTTCTTCGGGCCCCAGACACACAATCGGACCCAGTCTCGCATGCGCCTCTTTCAGCGTCGCATTCTCAATGTGTCGCCAGCGCACCCATGCTATCCACAGCGACGACACGTGCGCCGTGGGATGCGCAGCAGGTATCTTGCGCAGCGGATTGCGAAGGTAGCCCACGAGCACGTGGATGACGATGAGAGTCGGGAGCAGCACCGCCGGAGCAAGCAACGACGCCGCTTCAATCATCGGGTACGGTAGATCTATCGAATTCTTCGCGTTCGGTTCGTAATGTAAAGTTCAAACAATGAACGAAGAAAAAAACAAGAAGATCCGCATTCAAGAACGTTTTTCCTTGATTATCGTATCAGTCTGCAAAGCAAAAAAGAAACACAGTTCGTTAGGCAGAGCGGTTAGCACCCCCCCCCCTCTAGTTACTTTCTGAACTTACCTACGCCAAAAAGAAGCTTAGCTTTAGCTCCGTAATCGGTCAACTTGTTTTTGGAGGAAGAGGAGGGGCGGTGCTCTTTCCCTTTTCCTTTACCGACGCAGGAACGGAAAAAAACGCGTGCACACACGCGGCGAGATGATGTTTTTAAAAAAAAGCAAAAGAGTCAAGGATGTCAAGAAAGCAAAAAAAGATGTCGTATCTTTCGCCCCTTCACAAATCTGAGCAACGTCGGGAGTTTCAATATTCCTTGATTACTTACGACCCGCAAAAGGTCCAGTCATCCTATCTGTGGATTCCTACTATCCCGTATCTCACGCCTTATGTCAACCATCATCAACCCCGCAAAAACCCACCTTTTACCCCTCCAACCTCTCCTCCAACCACAGACACCTCGGCGCAACACCCGCTATCTTATCGCCAAAAAAACCCACTCCACACCTCTGCCCTTCCCCCCCCCCCCACACCCATGCAAAACGCTAAAACGCAAAACGTAACCCGTTCTTTATCTCTCCTTCAGATCTAGTCTCTGCGCTTTATCCCCAAAGCAGAGTTAGCGGGGGTGAAGTTACAGCGTATGTGGTTTAGCGTGGGACTTTTTTGCCTTTACCGAAGGTGCGCGCAGGTGGCGCTGTGGGATTCTAACGTTTTTTTTCCTTGCCAAAGGGGGAGTCTGTGTGGTGTTTGAGGTATGTGTGTGTGTGTCTCAACGGGCTCAACGATTATTATAGGTATTGGATTTACGCCGGATAGGGCGAATGCGAAGGATGATTTTGGATGACTTTGTTTTTGTTTTTTGGGGGGGTTTGGCCTTGTTTATGTGTGTTTTGCTTGCCCTTTCTCGAATCACGATTGACCGTTTCTCCCATTTACCGTTTGAGGTTGTGTGTTTGGGTTTGCACGTGCTTTGTTGGACGGAGATGGGGGAGAGAGAGCTTTTTTGTTGGTTCCCTCCCTCCCTCTACGATCTTTGTGGGTGTGGAAGGCAGGTTAATTTACCATGGTGATCTGGGGCTTCGGGGGGGCTTCGGGAATATTTTGCTGTGCACATGCCTTTGCTGTACCGTGTTTTTGAATCGTTTTGTTTAAGTCGGTTTTTTAGACTTGCAGTTGTCCGCTTGGTTGCGTGAGGCGGAATGTCCCGTGGCGTCGTTCGGTATGTCGGCACCCCACTTGGGGCTAGACTGGGCGAGGGAACAAGGAGTGGTGAGTTTGTGCATGACGGTGGTTCATATGCGGGTACATGTTTAGGCTGTCCGGGTCTTTGTTTTTGATTTTGGCGCGGATGCTTGGTGCCATGGTGGGCTGGGCTTTCGGTATGCACGCATGCGTGTGTGAGCGAATGACGTTTGGGGCGATTCTTGGTTAGACGACATATTTCGCTAGAGAAGAGCGTTTGTCGGCTGTCTCATGTGGTGTACTTGTGTGACGACATGTCGTGCGAGGGTAAGGCACGAAAAGCGCAGTATTGTTGTTACTTGTTTTGGAAGAAGAGGTTAGCTGGAAGGGGTATTGGAGAATCTGTTAGAAGAGTTCAGTTAGAAATTCATCAGGGAACCTTTCTTTCGGGAGATGGTACTGAGCTGATGGCATCTTGAGGGAACATAGTGTGATGAATGATATTACTGGTAATGCGTTCCGAGGAACACTGCGGATAGAAGAGAGTCATTCCTTTCTTCCCTTGCATTGATTCTATCACAGCCGCGTGGCATGCATATCTACATTTTCTTATCTCCATGAATTGGGGTCTGCATATGCTATCGAAACATTGACACCGCGCTGGAAAATACTACAAATTACATTTGCGCACTCGCAAGAATCGTACATCTTTCTTGATTGCGTTGATTTAATACTTACAATCTCATCATGTTTCATGTTGTTTCTCAAGTGGAAATAGTGCATAGTCGTGTCGATAAAATGCGTCGTCTCAGTGAGTGCATTGGGGTTCTTCTGTCACTTAATCCCGCCTCATCAGGAAATGTAGATTAAGTATTCGACTAGCAAAATTCGATTTCTCGTGTGACTAGCAACTGCAACTCTCAAGAGATAAGTCATGATAGGTCTTGGAATCAAGGGCAGCATTGCAATGGGTAATGAAAAGACAATATTATGGCATTGGGGAACTCAATGAGAGCCGAGTCATGACCAGCTAACTAGCTACATGTGAACAAAGTCAAAAAATCTGCCAGCCGGACACTGCTCTCGGTACAAAAGTGACCTAGGGCAAATGACCCAAGTTACATGACATGTTTCCCACATGCAGTGCATTGACATCCAGATAGTCAATTTGATACTCTCCATCTCCCATTTATAGCCCCGAATCCAATAGCAGTCCTCTGTTCTGAGAGAAGGGGCTGATGTGTAGTGACGTCTTCTGAACCATCTTCTTTCCACCAGAAAGCCAAGGATTGTGTTTCGACGGAAGGCAGGTCACTGAGCCTCAATCGTAGCTGACAGTCAGGGATCCGAATTTCTTGCCCTTGATTGTGACGTAGAACTCCAGAGAAGACTGCAGAGATATGTGCACAGTAACAACGATAGAGTAGTACTGGCGACCACATGGGCTCGTTTTCCGTTTCAGGTTTACCAGGGGTATGTCGTTAGAATCGACTGTGAGCACTGCTACACGGTATACTGACTGATCTATGTTAGCTGTGTTGCTTCCCCGAAGCGGCTTGCTTACCTTGTCTACAGATCGTGATGGAGCAATGTCTGCATCGCACGAGAGGAGTTTCCACACAATCTGCTTCTCTTTTCCAACCCACCAATTCATCGTTAATTCTGCAGCTGCGTGGGTTGCCTCTGACGCAAGAAGGGTCTGTCCTTTCTCGATTAACCATTTCATTTGATTAATCGCCCTCTCTTTTCCAGAATACTTGTCTATGATCATGTCGACCCTTTTGTGTGCACGTTTTTGGAAAGGTCTGGTACAAGATGTACCATAATGTCGACGGCTCTTTCGCTTCAAGACTGCACCGACACCTTTCTCAAGTCCTTTGGTGACGGCACCTCGGACTACCGCTGACCAACTACAGTGAATTAGTATAATCTTCATCAGTGTGTCGGGGATACTAACGCGTAAGGGGGTCGAATAGCTTGTATCTCTTGCTTCTCCAGGAAGTCTTTGATCTTTGAAAACATATATGGTGACTCTGAGAAACCACCAACCATGAACACATACTGAAGAAGTTAGCAGATACTCGCTGGGAGCACATGACTGTAAAAGCACTGGAATACACGTATCGGTATTGCGATAAACAACATACCTTAATCTTCAAATTTCCTATGCGTGCACGTCGAGTTTGCTCCTGAAGTAGCTCATACGTTCGACAGAGGCATGAGTCAAACATGGCTTTTACATCGTCCCTGATTGTTTCAATAATCATTCATCAGGTTTTGAGCTTCGGAACTCACGCTGTGATTTTTAGGTTTCCAAAAACAATACCTCTCTTCTCATCACGATCGATAGTACTCAGTGGGTATGGCAGTCGTAAGTAATTCTCTTGGGTTCCTGAGAAGCCGCATTTGATCCCCATAGTGAAATCCTGAACAAGTTGGGCCGTCTTTTCGTTGAGCGAAGTACGTGGGATTTCTTCGCTTCGAGAGCCAGCGATTTTAACAAAGTCTTGTGTACCTAAACGACGCTCAAGCCAGTGAAGAAATGCACGATCAACGAAACTACCACCACACTGGGCACCATTACCCACCGAGGCTTCTTCGATGACAGTAGGCTGAATAGCCGTAATGCGATATGTGATAAGGTCGACAGTCCCGCCTCCCATGTCACAAACAGTGAAGCCGTCGCCCACTGCGAACTGAGCGTCCTGTGCTGTACCGCGGAGCGTCTTGATTGTGTACAGCGCGGCAGCTTCTGGTTCCGTGGTAAGGACAATAGGTATCTTCAACTCTTTGAACGCTAGAGAGCTGAATCCGGCTTTTTCAATAGCCTGCTTAGTCCGGTGTTTTGCGGTATCTGACCACACCGCTGGGACCGTGACCACCAAAGTGATAGGAAGCGTTCTCCACAGTTCTTTGCCATACCTGTCGTCAAGGTTCTTGATCAAATGAGTTTTGACTTGTTCCAGGAAGTCGGCGATGATCTTCATGGGCGGTTTACGTGACTCGAGGAGAGATAGCTCATTGTTGATCTTGGCAACCTTACCATCTTCGCGGTTGTCTAATTCAAGTTTAGTCCACATGTGCCGCTTCTCATGTGGCGGGATATCAGAACCCCATCTAACACCTTCTTGCAGATAGGCAATTTCGCTAGGTACTTTCTCTCTTGTACCGAACTTGCCATGACATGAAGGCCAATCTTGTACGATTTCGACGTGTGATTGTTCGGATGCGGGATCGGATCTCGCAAAACGACACACCTAGAAAATTTAGCAGAACGTTTTGCGATCTAGACCACGCCACTTACCTGTATAAGTAGTGCCGTAATCGATCCCGATGATCACTCGACTGCTTCCCATGTTTTCTTGGTTCCTGAAGTCGGAGATCTGAAGTCGGAGCCGGTGTTGCAGTTCCGAATTGTGGGCAATCAGGAGTAAAACCGGGTGAGTAAGCGGATTGTTTGTGCAGACAACAAAGGCGGGTGATTACTAAGACGACCAGTAGTCGAAGTGAAGGTGAAAGTGAAAGTGAAAGTAGCGCCGCGTCACAGCGACTGCGTTTAGGTTACAAACCCCAACCGACAACTTGTCTCACCACAAGAGCCTTTGACTACAAGGTTTTCTTATCTCATTGACAGACGAAGAGGTTGCTTGCCTTGGCAAGTCATTATGGATACGAAAGACGCCGGCCAGAAACATTGGACACCTCCTGTAAGTTCATTCATCGCTTTTTGAACCGATTACTCACTTTTAGCTCAGTGCCCACCTGATGTTATGGAAGAGACAAAGTATCCAGTCACGCCAACTAAGCCCCATAGCAACACCAACAGTCAAAGCTACATGGAGAGTCCTTTCAATACCCCGCACGGCAATAGAGATTTTGCGCAGCTTGTCGAAGATAGCGATGGAAACACAGGACGGCCTGAAAACACTAGGAGCACCCCTCGAAAGCGGGAAAACCGAACCAAGAGATTATGCCGCCTCGTCGACAAGCTACACAATGAAAATGAAGATCTGAAAGTGCGTATCGATGAACTCACCACAGCCTCCCGTAATTTAGCTATGGAAAAGAGCTGCTGCGATAAAATGCACGAACACGATATTTTGCAGAGAATCATCTCGTACGCCAAAGATCATAGTCTCCATTACGGCAATCTTACAATGGAATCTGTACATACAATGCTGAGTAATATCCACCACAAATTGAGAGCATCCAATCATCCGCGAACTGCTTCGGAAAATCTCGAAGCACAGATTCAAGCCCTGAGAATGGAGCTCGCTGCTTCACACGCACAGTGCCAGTCACTGGGGAAACGACAAGCCGTCTCAAACGCCAAGCTTCGAGAATCACTCCAGAATCTTGCCATCTCTCAAGATGAAGCGCAGAGCCTGCGAACTCAAATGCAAGCGTTACAGAAAGAGATGCTTGCCCAACTATCCAAAGTCGAAGTCATTTCTGATGAGACATTTGCTCGGGACTTCCACATTCTTGCTTCCCTTGTAAAATCACTCAGCCTCTCAGTTCAGTCAGCACAAGACGTAGATGTTGTGGAGGTTTTGGATCCCATACTGCCCCTGAATCATGTTGCAAAGCACCACTGGGATACCCGCGCACGCAAGAAGGATTATATTGAGGCATGGATATGGTCTTTCCTTATCATGATGGTTTTCGAACACCCTTTCAGTTTCTGGGGAAGCTCCAGAGCTCTCTATGATAACTGGAAGCTTACCTTCGGTGAGAGTGTTGAGAACGACTGGCCAGAGCCTACCCCAAAATCTGAGAACTGGCGACGCACCACAACGGAGGAATTGGTTGGACGGATTGGGCGTGAAACCGTAACTTCAGGGCAAATCCATGGGGGTCGTCATCGACATGACAAACATGCTCAGAAGATGCAAACTTCGGTGCTCAAGACACGAGAACGAGTCGCCAATACTATCAGTGCGCATCTCACAATAATTGAACCAAATTGCGAGCTTTCGCATATTTCGGACATTGTTGACCGGGCATTTGCATTGGCTCTGGACATATCCATTCAGCCTTCCCGCATCCAATTTACTTGGCCAGAAGTTGGAGACGATTTTGAAGTAGACCATATGTCTCCGATTCCCGATCGCAATGGTCAAGACATCGATGGAGGTGTTGTTGCATTCATTGTCAACCCTGGACTCACTCGATGGGGCGATGCCCGCGGGCAGAATTTCGAGAAATGCCACGAGATTGTGCCATCTCTGGTGCAGCTTGAACCGGTGCAGGCCCAGCGAAGAAGTCTTCGTAGTTGTGTCAAAATCAAGCAGGAGAGGGGATATGCTTAGTGGTGAATTCGAGACTGGATGAGATACTGGAACCGGCGTCGACATGGAGATTGAGCATTGAAGTGAGAAGATGAGGGAACATGACTCGATTGATGGTGGCACAGTGGGATGAAAGGGAGGAAAATGGGCTTGGAGTTTGCGGATTTCTTTCGGTGTTCAACACACCATTGTACTTTGACGGAAAAGCGGATGACATGATATATGCTACCCATCGGTAGTATTGAGAGAACTGGCGTTCAACACGAACTTCCCCACTTAATATGGCTGCTTCCATGAAGTCAGCCCCCAGAATAGGAGAGAGCGTAACAAGACATGAGCTCATAGGAAAACGCAAAAATGGATGATGAGACGTATGAAACCCGATGTGCGTATGTGCCGTCTTTGTTGTATGTCATTGAGCTTGGGCGGGGATCGAAATTGGAGAGGGGGGTAAAGTGTTGTTCACGTCACAGGCGCGTCGACGCGAGGACATTTCCGGGACTAGCGTGCCGAACGCGTCGGCCGCATCCTCGATACATACGACCACCGCCGGCTCTGTTATATGCCATTCGTACCTTTTATTGTTTACCTACCCAATGCTGGGTATTGACACTCGGAAAACCTCATTTCACGCCCATAGCATTCCTCACAACTCACCGGGCGCGTCTTTGTGCGCGCTTACTCTACGCCTCCACGCTGGCTAGACATACACACCCACCTCCGCCATGTACCTCCCACGGAATCTGATAGCACACCTCTATCAGAACCTCGTAAAAAGAACACATGCCGCAGCACCGCCAGTCCTGCTCCTTGTCGCACTTGAACCAGACGCGCTATGTGCCTGTCGAATTCTTACCGCGTTACTCAAGCGCGACTACATACCCCACAAGATACAGCCAATAGCCGGTTATGGCGACCTTTCACGGGCAGCAGATGAGCTGGTACGGCCAATGCGGACAACCGAAGGCGGTAGCGGGGGAGTTGTGGTGTGTTTGGGTGTGGGAGGCATGGTAGACATGGAAGAGATGCTAGGCCTGGACGTGGACGAGAATGGAGAAGGTGGAACTGGCGATGTTGAAGTATGGCTCTTGGATGCACGACGACCATGGAATCTGACCAACGTTTTCGCGGCACCTATCAGCCAAGACCCCGCCACGGGAGAATTGGTGCGGAGACAGGCTGGTGTAGACAAGGGCAAAGTCCTGCAGTCCTATCAGTCGTCAAGAGGTGGGATTATAGTCTTTGACGATGGTGATATCGAGCAAGAAATGCAAGCAGAGCGGGAAGCATATTTGGGGCTCGAAGAGATGCCAGAAGTGGGGGAGGAAGACGACCTGAGCGATTCAGAACCAGAAGATGAAGAGCCACCGTCAGGGCAGGCACCAAAGAAAAGAAAATCCTGGGGTGAGGGGGATGATTCTGAAGACGATATGACAGACGACGAGCGGCCAGCACAAAGACGGAGGAGCAATTCTGTTTGTACAACCTTTACATAAAGTGGAACATGAACTAATAACTTCTAGGGCGGCTCAATACCATCCTCACCTGAACCGCGACGGCGGCGGGGTCTACTGGCAGCAAATCAATTAGGCGGATCCTCCGACTTTTCACGCTCAGACTCCCGCAGCCGCTCTGTGTCCCCCTCAGTAGCTGCACCAAAAGAGCAGTCTGTCAAAAGCCTACGAAGGCAACTTATCAAAAAGCGAGACAAGTATGCACAGGTCCTTGACAAATACTACGAAATTGGCACATCATACTCGGATCCTGTCTCATCCCTGGTATACAACCTAGCCTCAGAGCTTGGCCGCGAAGACAACGACCTGCTATGGAACGCCATTGTAGGTGTCAGCAGTCTGGAGTTGTACGGGCGAACAGGAAGTGGTGTCGGGCTCAATCCGCTCTCAGCACAAGGTGGCTCAGCAGGCTGGAATGGCAACCGAGGAGAGAGCATACGCTCTGTACTGCGAGACGAAGTGCGGCGGCTGAACCCCGTCACGGATGCGACAAGCGTATCCCGCGACGCAACAATGGGCGAGGTCTGGGGTGTCATTCCAACAAGTGCTCGCTCAGCAACAGACACAGCCATCCGCCTCTCACCAGAACCCCGCTTCCTCCTTCTCCGGCATTGGTCTCTGTATGAGAGCATGCTACACTCCCCGTATCTCTCTGCCAAACTACACATCTGGAGCGATGCGGGGCAGAAGCGACTTGCTAAACTGCTCGCAAAAATGGGAGTCTCCCTCACCGAATGCAAACAAAGATACACACACATGGACATGGAACTGAAGCGCGGCCTGCGGGAACGTCTTCTCAAGTTCGCCCCACAATACGGTCTGGACGGCCTAGTCCCCCCAAAGTCAAGTACAGGCGATCCAAAAGACGGCTGGGGCTTCGTCCGCTGCTGGGGCTGGAAAGCCTGTCTCTCTGCCATCGACGCAGGCGTAGTCCTAGGTGCCATCCTCGAAGTCGGCGACGTCAAGAGCCTCAACCAATCCGCCCTCGACAGCTCAAACTTCGTCGGTACAACCGACCACACCGAGATGCAAACTGCGACACAAGAAGAGCAAGACCTCGCTCAAGAACACATCACCAGCCGTTTCTGGACCGCCTATGACGCCCTCGGCAACATCGACCTCCTCGTCGAGCACATCACAACAGCCCAGCACCTCCACCGCGCCATCCTCCGCACTGGTACCGCCCTCATCGAAAAACGTCAAATCCGCCACCTCCGCGCCTTCCGTATGGCCGTTGTAAAAGAAGGTCCAGACGTCCGCCTCTTCACTCACCCGGGCGCCCTCACCAAACTCGCCCTCTGGATCGCGGAAGCTATCGTCGAGCTGAACGGCACAAAGGGAAAATCCAAGGGAAGCGAACTCGTCATGGCGGGTCTCGACGACTCGCGGGGCCTCTATGTCGTCGTAGGTCTCGGTGGTAATGGCGGGACCACGCAATCAGCCAAGTCGCGACTTCAGAAACGCGAGGCCCGCGCCGCGGCGAAGCAGGAGAAGGAAGCCATTAAAGAGCGGGAACGCGCAATGCGCCGGGAAGCGCGACGTACACGGAATCTCGCTGCAGGCCTGGAAGAAGATGAAGTCGAAGACGAAACCGAATCTGAAGCTTCGGATTCGGATTCTTCCTCTGACAACGATTCAGAAGACGAAGAGGACGAGCGCAAGGGCGGCAAAAATCGCTTTGGTAATGCGTTCCAGGAGGTTGTCCGTGAGACCGGGGCGCGAGTCCGCATGGATAGTTTTGAAGCGTGTGTGATTGAGATTAAGAAGGAGGATCTCAGTGGGTTCCTGGAGAAACTGAGTCAAAAGGCTGTTGTTGGTTGAGTGATGTTCTTGTGAGTTTTGTTCTTCTCACCCTTCTTCTTCTTCTCTCTTCAGTCTTTTGGTTCTGCGGGGTTTCTTAGCTGCTGTGGAAAGCAAACAAAAACGTCGATTGGAATTTTCAATGCTACGGCGATATATGGCTACGTTTTTGGGGAATTTGTTTCGGTCATGGCTGAGGTGGGTTGTGTGGGGGTTGATATGTTGATACCCGTGGGTTTGCTTCTTTTCTCCTTCTTCATCTTTTGTCTTCTTTTTTCCCCCACTGTTTCGTTTCTTATTTACGGCATAGTTGTTTTTCTTTATATTGAAATGTGACAAGCGAACGATTTGGAAAGCACGTATTCAGCATCGTACTAGTATTACTATTATTATTATATTGTTTCTTCTTTTCTCCCTGTAGAGAGCATAGCACAGCGTTAGCATCGTAGAGCAAAAAACCAAAAACGTATACACATACACACGAATTACAAGCAACCTTCTAATCAAGACCATTGCAATTCAGAGTATATTCTCAACTCAAAAAAGGAAGAATAAGAAAAAGTGGTATCTTCTGTACGAATGCGCGACAAACACCCAACCCATTTTCCCTCCGCTATTACTCTTAATAGCAATACCATTCCCTACTACCTTACTTTGTAAACGACCGTCCCTTTTGGCCCATCATGAGCGGCTCTTCGTCGTCACCATCATCATAGCTTCCCTCCCCACTGCTTCGTCTCTTTCCCCTCCTTACTTTGACACCATCAGTCAGCCTCCTCTTCACCTCTTCAATGTTTCCATCAATAGTGCTAAATGGCTTGAGCTGGAACCCACCCAGATTCATGCTACTATTACTCCTACTATGGCTTTTCTTGGGCGTCTGCGGCCTACTAGAAAAGAAGTCCTGATTTGCCAGGTCGTGGAACGATTCGTTGCGTGGTATTTCATTCATGGAACCCGGTGAGGCGGGGTAGTCGTACGTTTCGATATCCTGGCCAGCCTCTATCCGAGCGTCTTCATCAGACTTGACTGGCGGGGTACGAGGACGCTCGTTCTTGTCTCCTCGGATAAAGGGGTCTTCAATGATGCGCTTCGAGTGGAAGTCGTCATACATCTCTGGGCCAAGTTCGTTGATGAGATCGTTGACCTGTTTGGCAAGATTTTCGCGGCGCTCCTGGAGCCTGACGAGTTCACTGTTCGAAAAAGGGTTCATCATCTTCCAGAGAGGACCAAGAGATTTGAGAATGTCCATGGCGACTTCACCGAAACGGAGAGCGCCGTAAGTGACTGTGATGTATACAACAAGTTGTGGGAGAATGAGCCAGCGCTTTGGAATACCAGCGGGAAGGTATCCGTTACAGTTGTTGTACGAGTACCAATAGAGCCCGAGACATACATACCATGCATAAGAGGCTGGTGCGGCTGCCATGGCAACAAGAAGCTTCCACGTAGCCATGACGTCTCTGGCTTGAACCTTGACATTTGAAGCGGCAAGCGCCTCTTTTGCTTTCTTCACAGAGACAACCTTGGTAACAATGAAAACTAAACTGAAGAGTATCGTTCCAGGAAGGACGAGCAAACTCAAGAAAATGAGCTTTGCAAGGCGGTAGACGAAGAGACCTGCGGCTTTGATCGGATGCATCTTTGCATACTGAACTTGGTGGTCCCGGAGGCCAAGCGCTTTGAGTTTTCTGTTGTATGTTGTGACCTCTTTCTTGAGTTCCACGACACGAGGATCATCCTTGTAGCGCTCATATCCTTGGACAAGGCGTCGGTTCAACTCGACAACCCTGGGCAATGGCAGTTTCGTTCCCTTTGAGTTGTAAAGACGACGGACGGCCTGGATGACCTGCCAACAAGTGTAAGTGAAGAACAAAAACTATTCAGTGAACCACATACCATGAGTGTATCGTAGTCAGGTGTTGTAACGGTGACGCCAATGAGACCCTGTCGAATAGTCTCAAGCATCTCGCCAATTGCTTCTCGTCTTCCAGGCCCATCAAACTTCTTAGCAAGCTCTGGCGGGACATGGATTGGCGTTCCAAACTCGATAACGGCCCTTGAACGAAACTTGTGAGCGTGAAAGTAGTTCATGCCAACAGGAATAATGTTCAGATTGCAGTCCGGCTTGGTTGCGACTGTGCCAAGAGCCATGATGGCGACACCAGCTGGGAATTGTTAGTTATTGCCGAGTTTCCATTTGGGAGTAGCTGACCTTTTAGAGGCAGAAGATCGGTACGGTCATGGCTACCACCCTCCGGAAAGATACCAATGCTCCCGCCGTGGTGCAGAACCGCATGTACAGCGTCATAGACCTCGGTTTGATCGAGTTTGGGCGCAACCTGAAACGACGTTCCTTCGTAGCCATCAGCAATTCCCTTTTTCGCGTCGGCTCCGCCAACAAATGTGCCGTCTTTGGTCATGTCGTTGCGTCCAGTCAGTTGCTGCATTGCGACACCTCCTTTAAAGGGACGCTTCAGCCGAATCTCTTCCGGGCCTTTGATCTCAAGAATCTCTGCAGTCGCTGCCTTGTTGTCTACTTTTGGAAGAACGAGCGAACCACCAACCTGGAACAGCTTGTCTTCAAAGTTTGTATCTACACCTCGAACGAGAGTGGGGTCATTTATGGGATCTGGGAGATAGATTTTGCCCTTTGCTGGCTTGGTCATGTCCATAGCTCGTCCCACGGGCACAACACCCGTCAGGCTAGCCATTGCGCCGACAAACTTGCGTTTCATGGACTTCTCAGCGATCAGAAATTGTATACGGCGGTCCGATTCCTTCTTCACAACTCGCATCAACATGAGAGGGTCTACGAACTGATGGCTGTCAGCTTCCGCTTTGCAAAAAAAAAAGCCATCTGTCAATGTCGTACCTGATTTGCATGCGGGGCGCACACGAAAATGACGGGGCCCTCTTTTGGCACCTTCCAGCTACTCCTGGGATGGACTTCTCGGAAGAAGAGCTCGACCAGAATCGAGAATGTCCACAAAAAGGCATCGTAGACATACTTGTTCATGACGGCGAGCTTCTTGCCTTTTGCATCTCTCTTTTCGGTCGCCATGACGGCTGTCTAGACCACTAGTATGACGCCAAAAAAGAAAAGCGTAGTGATGTTCGCCGTGGCGAGGACGAAGTTGATATGGCCCCCTATGGCTGCGGGTACGTCGTAATCTCAGGGTCCGATGGCGATGGAGGGGGTGACTTTTGTGGGCAGTCGGGCAGTGCGCTCACTGCAGGGCGGGGTCGCTAATGATGATGGCGCAAGTGTGTGAGTAGCGATAGACTTTGCATGGGTCAGCATGGAGTTGTGAGAATTGCCATGGTGTTGCAGGCGCCTTTTTTACCTTCTAGCACTTTCTCTGTGTCTCTGTGTATTGTCGCGTGCGAGGGAACGAACATCAGGCCACAGTTGAGCTCCGGACCTGATCGGATCCTGAGATAGGAGATAGCCGAGTGCCGAGCAGCGAGAGTATTAGTGGAGCGTTGCGCTGGAAGGATAAAGCTCAACCGAAGCCGCCTTGGGACGCTATTCTCGTTGTTGAGACCGGGTATGTGGAGGGAGTGCAGATGGGCCGGGGTAGCGGGCTAGATTTGTTATGTCATTGCTGCCTCGCCTGCGCAGCTTGCCGCTTCTTCATGGTGGGGCAGTGGCTGCTCGCCTGCACTCTACTAACCGCGCCCATGGGCAACCACAGGCCTAGACTCGCTCCACACCTGCACCATCACCCCCAACGGGAGCAAGAAATCACACAAATAGGCTCAGAATGACCCAATATAGAATCTGTATTGAAGGGTTCGGCAACTAGACTTTAGGATATGAAAGTCTCTAATCAAGAAGGGTATATACGTAATATCGAATAAGATGAACATAGAAGGCACAGCCAGCATGCATATGTACACCTACAACCCGACGAAGACAGCCGCAGCCACGAACATTGCCAAGACAGAACCGCTGACACTGTAGACAGACCCAGCGCCCTCGAACACTGGCAACGTCGGGCTGGCTGTGTTATTGCCCGCAGGTGGCGACACTGCGCTCGAAGTTGTCAAGTTGAGAGGAACGGATGCAGCTGGTGCGGTCGGCACGAATGGAACTGTAATAGTCACCGTCACGCTAGGCGTGCAGCTAGAGGTAGAAAAGGAAGAAGACGCCGCAACAGTAACCGTCTTGGTGACGTTGCGCACGCATGACGAAGAAGAAGGCTCAGTCTCATCGAATTCAAGACCAGGGTTGTTAGGGACGACGGGAGCCGCGCTGGAAGCCGTGGGGCTTGGGGTGATGACGGGCGCTGGCACGTCGGAGGCTGGGGCTGGAGCCTCAATTGCCTGGGGCTTGTCAGACTGCACCGCTTCTGGTACCTGTCCTGCCACTGTTTCACTCAGGGGACTCTTACTTGGCAAAGCAAGCGGCGCACTTGATGGCGCTTCAGGTGCTGGTGCCTGCTCTGGGTTAGATTCAGGAGTGGGTTCGGGAATAGGTTCAGAAGTAGGTTCAGGAGTAGGCTGTGGAGTCGGCGTGGGAGTCGGCGTGGGAGTAGATTCTGGCGCAGAGTCCGTGGGGGGGTTTGCAGCGTTGTTCTTCGCAGGAAGCAGGTTCTTCTTGATCTGCAGAAGCGCCTGAGTGACCTCAAGTGCAGACAGCTGCTGGCCAACACCAGAAGTACCGTCCCAGCCTCCGGTGTACCACTTGCTGCCGCAAGTCTTTCCATCTGGGCCTCCAGAGCAAGACTTTGCAGCGCCGACCGCAGAGGCTGTGAGATACTTCTTAATGGAATCTTTGGTGAAGGGAGCCAACAATGCAGTCTTGGCCATAAAGCGGGCGAGATAAGCCTTGAAAGACTGCTGGTCAAGGTTGCAGTGCCTTCCTGACTCGCCCGTCTCACATGCCCATTCATACATAATGTTGGTGGCATTCTCATAGGGGCTAAAGAAGAGCGCCTCGGCATGTTTGAGGAGACCAGCTGTGCGGTCTTGCCAGATCTTGGCGCCCTTGGTGAAGTCGTACATGAATGCTGATCCGTGAAGAAACATGGCGTTGTTGTAACTCCACTGGGTCTCATCCGCCACCTTGGAGCAGTTGGTCTTGTCGTCGGTTCCATCAAACACTTCGAATTGGTCGGTGATGAGGCCGACGCTCGCGGTCCAGTCATATATCTTCGCAGACCAATCCGCATACTTTTGCTCGCCCGTGTAGCGGGCAAGGCGTGCACCAAGCCCAAAGGCGCAGCCGTTGGAGATTGCGTTCTTGTAGTAGAATCCGTACGTGTTTTCGGGATAAATCTGCCACTTCAGACCTCCACCGCAGGTGGTATCATTCCAACGTCCAACAATGCTGTTGAATGAGCTAGTGGCAACTTCAAGATAGTCCGCAGGTGCCTGTGAAGGCTCCGGGAACTGATACTCGAGTGCACTCATGGCGGCGATTGCCCAAAAACATTCATCATCGCTGCCCTGGAATATACAGTTAGCTTTTGCGATCAGATGGTTCCATGGTTTTCCATACCGTTTGGCTCCTGCGATAGTCCAAGATGAAGTCGTTCTTGGGTCCGTAATTGGCAGTCAATGCTTGCTGGAGCGCCTTGACATGCGAATCGTCGCCAGTGATCTCGCTGTATTCAATCATACCTCCCCATGCGGCACCACCCTCCCACCAGTAATGGGGCTGTGGCCAAATGCCGATATCTTCCTTTGGAACGCCTGTAGCATTGCCCTTGTAGAGCGACATCAAGCTGTACGCATATTGTCGGGTGACGGCAAGGATTGATGCTGATCAAGTTAGCCTATAAGAAATGAACGGACCATATCCAACTGCTGTCTCACCTTCGTCCTCCGGATCGAACTCGATGCCGTTCGCGGTGCTTGCCGCAAAAGCAGCCAAGAGCACAGCTCCAGTAGTTGAGAAGAACTTCATGCTTACTCGAAAACGAATGTAAAAAGGTGGGAAGAAGAGAAACAAGGAAACAAAAAGGGCGGAAACGAAGTAACGACTGTGTACTGCGCAAACAGTTTGCGTGAGTGAAGAGTAAAACCTAGTACGGTGAAGGGGCCTGGCATTATGTAGAGAATTGGGCTGACTCGTATCAAGCCACGCAGAACAAGGAGAGCGCGGATGCAGGCGGCAGGGGTGGTGTAAGCGGGCGTTTCGAAACTCAGGAACAGATGGCCCCCCAGCCAATCACTCACTAGCCAGCCTGTTTCATACCCGGGGCCTCTTGCCTCTGCGTCCACTCGTCTTCACTGCGCCTAGCCCTTCATTGTTTGGAACAGTTGATCCTACTGTATCCACAGTTATTGTTGTACATTAGTTGTTGTATGGCTGCTAAGTTTAGCTTCGTCGCCTGCCATGTTTGTATGTGAAGCGCTTGCGAGGGCGACCACAACCAAGTCTTCCTACCCCAGACACACGCGCATAACCCAGCATTCCTGCGTTGGAGATGCATAGCGCCTAGCATGTGAAGATCACACAAGCAAAAAGCAACTGACGAGATTAAACCAAGCAGCAAGGGCCGGTCCTCCATCACACAGCCATTCGGCAACACTCCTCTAATTATGCCTTGGCCTCCGCAGTACTCCCTCATCACGGCATCACCCCACATCGAGCCTGAAGGCCTCCCGTAATAGGGATGCTCTGCACAACTGCACACACTGTGCCGGCAGCCGCGTCCACCTTAGTTTACGCCTACTAATCTCTTTTCCTTCTTGGCCTTTTCCTCTTCTTGTATCGCAGCCCTCTCCTCCCTCGTCATATTGTATGATCCAGTGACCTGGTTGAACGGGTTGTCCGGATGCTTTTCGAACTCTTTTCGTATTATCTCAATCTTCTGTTGTCGCCGCAAGCTCTTGTCGTCCTTCATCTCGGCAAGTCTGTCTTCCTCATATGCGGCCAATGCAGCCTTGAATCGCCTCTCGGGGTGCCGGTCAATTTTTTCTTGTGTATTGCCCGTGATATCCAGAGCATCGAGCGCATTGTCGATACCACTGGCATTGAGGGCGGATGGCTTTCCGTCAAGGGAGCCCAGGGCTGCGTCGATGCCGCGGGGTTTCTTCTCGGCTTTCGGTGCCTTTCCTTTGGGTTTCGATGGCAGTGATGCCTCTTCTTCACGCAGCAATGCCTCCTTCTCCGCCTTTTTACGTGCTGCCTCTGCGGCCTTTTCTGCCGCAGCCTCGCTGCCATATGTTAGTCTACAGTTGCACAGAAATGCAAGCCCACCTACGCCTTCGCATTGGACTTTGCACCCTTCTTCCATTCCTCTGCTTCTTCCTTCTCCGCCTGTTGGTTCTTTGCTGCCTGTTTTGATGCCGCAGCCTCTGCCTTGCGAGCCTGGCCTTGTGCCTTCTTCGAGTTCTCGCCGGCGCCGGCGCCGCCCTTTTTTGCCATTTTGATGTGACGCTAGTAATATGCTTGCTGGATATGAGAGGGTAGTGTAAGTTCAGCCGAAAGAATTTGGGGTGGAAGCGATTACAACACGAGTCAAAATTTGGTGAGCAATAGCAGTCTACAGTGACCCCTGCGGGGCAATGTCGTCACGCCACGTCCTCACCAAGAGAAAACATGATTGGGTGGATTCTGTTACTTCCCCTCACAAGCCAGTGAAATTGCCTTACAGCAAAGTGAATGGCGCATGTAGCGTCAGCCTTGAGTGTGACTGCTGTATCCTAGAAATGACATCCATCAAGTCCGCGGACGGTGCTATCCCTGCAAGACTTTATTGCTCGTCGTCGGCCAACTGACAACTTATACCTGATTGCAAATGATTCATCTCAATGGTTCAAGTGATGTGCATAAGCAGATACATATACATCTCTTATTCTTTCCGTTGATAGAGCTTTGAGCGGTTTTTTATGGAGTTTCTGGGGTACGCCGGCAAGCACAATATTCCGTTTAGCGCCGATTTGGCAACCAAGTATTGAATAAGCCACTTAGGGATTGCCTCTTTCCTTCTCAACATCAATTCGCAACTTCACCTCTGTCTCAATCTACTCAACTTACTTGAGACTTTGATCTTCGCAAAACTTGCTCTTCGTACCGATGTGCAGCGTCTTAAAGTGCCAGCACCTTCTCAAAGTCGCTAGCGTATTGTATCTTGCAAACCAGTTTATCAATCGTGATCGACATGATTTTTTACGCTGAAAAAAAGACTGGGATTACATTTTAGCCAATGACATATTGGCACGCTCAATGTATGAAGCCAAGTGAGTGATTCTTAGTTTTGCATGGGGTTGTAAATCGGACGAAAACAAACCCCCTGTAGCCTGTCGGCGCAGGTATGGTCACAATCGGGCCAACATTCAGCACGCAGTGCACCCCCCAAAAAAAAACATCAATACAAGATTCCTACACACAGAGCTTCCATGTCGATGGCCATGTGGAATTTTGCCACTTTAATGGTGAACAAGGCTCGAGCATGTATGTGTATATATTGCTCCGTCTCGCTTCCTGGTCGGTACTTGATTGATGGATCCACAATTATATGCGGTGGTTTTCGCAGGATTGCATGTCATGTCACGAGGCTACATGCGTGTGGCGCAATCTATGCGCGCCTCCGTTGAGGCTATGCTTCTACCTGGCACATGCTATTTTGTTGGTATTGGAGTTTTAATCTCCATCGTCCGGCAACACTCTACTGATCAAATCGACGAGACCATTGCTCCAGCCTGAAGTACACCGACTGGAAACACTCAAATATTGCTCAGGTATTTAATGATTACCCCGCGCCACACGATAATCTGATTCAAGTCATCATTGGGAATGATTCGGTGTGAGCTGTGTGATCTAGTCGCGAAAGCGATTGAAAGAGCCTTAGGAGATCATGAGGAGTTTGTGTGGGAGTTTGCCAAAGTGGAACAAAACGACGGGTGCGCTACGTGCCAAAAAGTTGTAAAACGTTTCAGGCAGGAGGCACCGAATGTTAGTCTGCACAACAAGCTCGGATATGTGAGATCCTGGGATGATCACTGGATGGTGTGCCTTCGGGATCGCAATGACGATTGCTCCTGGGGAAGATATCTCATTCATGTTAACATGAGAGCCTATTCAAATGCTTCAAACGAACTTGGATTCTCTCCGCTTGGGGATAATATCGATATTGCGGGTATCAAGAAATGGATTGACCGATGCGATAGCGATCACACCGGGAAGTGCCACACAATTACGGATCCTATGGGCAAGATACCAGAAGCCACAGGATTACTGTTCATTGACGTCGAGAAGCTTTGTCTGGTAAAACAACCCAAGGATGCATACATGGATCGATACGTCGCCTTGAGTTACGTTTGGGGTACCACCAAGGATCCTTTTCAGACATTAAAAGCGAACTTTGATTTGTTAAGCACCAAAAACGCATTCGAATTACCTGAGAACGATTGTCGAATTCCCAACACCATCAAGGATAGTATCCTTCTCGTCCGTACTTTAGGCATTCGGTACTTATGGATCGATCGATTTTGTATAGTACAGGACGATGAAATTGCAAAACCGCATCAACTAAATTCAATGGCTGCAATATACTCCAATGCGTACTTCACTATTGCAGCCACCGAGGGGCCAGACAGTGATTATGGGCTTCAGGGACTTGGAAAGCAACGCCTGAGAAGATCACCTTTCGAAGTCTTCGAGTTCGGTCCCAGTTGTCGCATGATGGCAGCTTCACCGGTAAGAAAAATCGCTCCCGAAGTCTATCATACCCGAGGCTGGACGTTCCAAGAATGGAATTTCTCGTCGCGTATGATTGTATTCCATGAACAGACTGTGACATGGGTATGTCAAAAATACAAACAACAGGAGAACGGGCACATCCCGCACCAATCGCTGGACAGATTACCCTTGACTTTGTGGACAAAGGAGCCCGCTCCTACATATTACTGTCTTCAGGTAGACAAATATAGCAGGAGAAATCTGTCTAATTCAGCGGACGTCTTAGCGGCATTCAGCGCATTCACTACAGTGCAAAGTCGAGCCATGAAAGGTGGGATGCTACACGGCCTTCCAGAACTCTTCTTCAATAACATGCTATGCTGGCACCACGACATGAGCTCGCGACAGCAAAGAAGGATCGATTCCAAAGGCAATATCCTTAAGCAGTTTCCTTCCTGGTCATGGGTTGGCTGGTTCGGTCCAATGGATATGTGTCTCGTCAGTGAAACCAGCGGTATCAGAATGCGTGCCTCCCCCGGCCGTCTCACATACCCTCACATCACCGAATTCTACAAACTCCCTACCAGTTTAGAATCAGAACAACGAGAACTCATACAGGATCTTCACTACTACGAGTCTTGTGGTCTGGCATCAACAGTCCTAAGCGGAAAGCCACTATTCGAGGAAGCTGAAGACAAAGAAACTCTTACATCGAGGCCCAATCATGTTTACTCCACTGTCATCGAATTCCGTACTCGCCGGCTCATCGCATGTATAGCAGAGTATGATTGTAATGGCTTCAGCAATGATACGGCTTTTATACTAGGGTCTGAGGGCCAAATAATCGGTGCTCTAGACCTCGGTTTATCCTTCTACTCACTCGACTTACCCCAAAACGATGTCGAGCTTATTTGCATCGGTGTTAGCGCGCCTATGTGCTTGAAACATGCCCGTGCTCGAAGACTCAGTGACCAGTATATCTATATCGACAGTTGCCCCAGAGAATGTTTTGCCGATTTAGAGCAGTACGACAATGGGATTTACGAGCCAGCATCAGATTGGCAGTTTAGGTGTTATGATGTACTGTGGATCGAGTGGGAAGATGGTATTGCATATCGAAAAGCGATAGGGCAGATTTGGAAAGAAGACTGGGAAGCTGCAGAAACAGAGGAGGTGGATATCCGACTTGGATAACGCGGCGAAACTGTAAAATATACATGTCAAATCGTATGCAGACAGTATAGGACTCAATTGCTCATAGGCTATTCTAGAGATGCGGCACGTTCAAACTGGCCAGTAAGAGGTTCATGATACTGAGCAGTCCCTCGCCCAAAATCAGACCACTCGCAAGTACGATAATCGGAGTTTCGCTTCTACCCTTCCAGCGTCGCCACCAAAGGCTTATCAGACCCCCGACTGTGCGTGCCAGCGTGAACGAAGGCGTGTTATACATACCTGAACCATAATGTTAGCAAAGCCGAACACATGACAAGAAAAAAAAGAAAAAAGAAAGACTTACCAACGGCAACAGCAATTCCGCCTGGCACAAAGTCAATCCACCATCCACTCAAGCCGTTCCGCTTTCGAGTATTACCCCAGACCCTGATCACCGTACTGACAGCAAAGATGACAGCCGCTCCGCTCGCCCATTCCTTAACCATGGGTGGCAGACCCTTTCCTGTCACTAGTCGTGCGGTAAAGATCCACACATAACCTGTCGGTACCTCGAACAACCCACCAGGGATGGTATACACATTCGTATACAATTTGTACACAACCGCCGACACCACCGCCCCAACTGCCGATCCAATCATCTGACCCCAAAACTGCGCGTTTGGCGCCGCCCCAAGTATATGCCCGCACTTGAGATCCTGTAGCAAATCTCCCGCTTGTAGTGCTGCAGACTCGGACACTGCGCCAGCTACGAGATTGATAATGACTGCGTTCTTAGCTCCTGGTCCTGTGGTTGGTGTGACGAGCGCGAAGACAAGTTGCGTGAGCTTGGAGATACCGGAGACGGGGTTGAGATCTGTTTCGCCTAGTGCGCGGACGCCCATGATTGAAAGGAAGAGCGCTAGAACCAGTGATAGAAGGGTTAGGCGGAAAGGAATCAGGCCGGGGAATGTCACATGAACGGCGATGACACAGAGGACTAGCGATACGACGAGTCCGATGATGGTGGTGCGGTTCGATACGAGATGCTCGGGGGGTGCATCTGGGTCGGAATCTGCATCGAAGTGTTTTTTGATAGATATCAACGGAGTCTCTGCCGTCCCATCACCAACCTGTGTATATCCTTGTCTGGGCGTGATATTGAAGGTGAGAATCTCTTTCCAGGTATGTGAGTGGAAAATTTCTTTGGCAGTTGGATAGTATGCTGCTGAAAACGTGACCAGTGGTCGGAGAAGCAGCCACCCTAAGCTGACGAGGGAGTCTGCCAGCATGATGGCAAGCGATATCCAAACAATCCATCCCTTGGACCCATTTGTCCAGTCAGAAACAAGTCCTGGAGCCCATCCCTTGTGTTTTGCAAGTGGTGAGAGGACGCCCCAGCCGATAATGGCACCTAAAAGCATATGTAGTGTCGTAGCAGGACCCATGATGATGCCTTGTCCAACATAAGCCGGTGAAGGATTCAATGTCCAAAGCCAATTTTGCGCTAGGGAAAGGCCAAAAACGGGAATGTCGTGCAGTTGCGGGATGAAGTAGGACACAACGGTGAACAATGCGGATCCAGCAAACGAGATCAACAGCAGCCTGATCTTGGATTTCCAGTCTCCATCATCTTCATCCTCATCAGGTTCCTGCCCTGTAGTTTTCAGGTTGTCGTCCAAAGATGGTCTTAGATCAGGCTCTTCTCGCTGGGCACTCGATCCCTGTAAAAGTCCCTGAGACGCTTCTTCGTCATCGGAAAGCTCTTGCTCGCGAGTTGCCACCTCTTTCGATTCCTTGTCTCCGTGAAGCACCCTGATAAGCAGCGCAGTAGCGGTTCCACTCGGGAACTTGAGCTTCTCCCGGATAATCACTTCCTTCCGAAGCGGAACCGCAAAAACCACACCGAAAAAGCAGATTCCGACGGCCCACACAATCAGTTTCCAGAGACTAATATCCAACGGCCCGTTCTCTTCTGGTTTCAACAGGTAGTTTAATGCCGGAATGACACCCACAAATCCGCATCCTAGGGGCATGGTACCGACTGATCCCGCGACTGACTGAATCAAGACATTCTCGACTGGTGTAAATGGCAACTTAAGCGTCTTCGCAACAACCTTGAAGTATGCAAACCCAATCAGCGCCGAAGGCATGGCCATGCCGCTCACCCAACCCGTCTGCAACCCAAAATACATGTTAGAGAAGCAAATGACGATTCCAATAGCCAGGCCAACCAAAACACCACGGAGCGTAAAGTTCTGCGGCTGCGATGCCCGCTCAGCCAGATAACTGCGAGTCCCCGTTCTGCTACGCCTCAACGCCGTACGTTCCGTCTCTTCACCCTCTCCAGCTCTTTCATTCTGCAGTTCCGTGTAGCCTCGGTCCGGCGCCATGCTTTCAAAATCCTGAAGCTGGATTGACTCGGCCAGCGCGACGGCTGAGGCGAGTAGTTAGTTAATAAAGGAAAAGAAAGGCAGATCGAGAGAGGGGCGGAAGACGATCCACCTGATAGGAAGATTACGGGATCATCTTGTCATTGGTAATGGCGTGCTCAGTGCATGTGCACGGGATGATGCAAAGTCCCCGGTTCGACCTGACTAGCCCTAGACGATCAGCCACGTGACAGGGATGCCGGATCTAACAACGTTGCTTATCTCCGATTTGTCAGATGTTAGACGTCGCCAATCAAACACCAGGCTGGGGGGAACATCGTGAACCGCCCCCGGGTCTGGAGAGCGCGTCGCGGTCCGCACAATCCTAATCCCAGCTCGACTTTCCTTTCGTCCCAATACACTCCATACTGGCAATGAAATTTTCTGCGATACTCCTGCCATTGCTGGCGGCGCCCTTTGCCGCCAGCGAACACACATCCAACTGGGCGGTCCTGGTATCGACCTCACGCTTCTGGTTCAACTACCGCCACTTAGCCAATGTCCTGTCTCTTTACCGCACAGTAAAGCGACTTGGAATTCCCGACTCGCAAATCATTCTCATGCTCCCCGATGATATGGCGTGCAACCCGCGTAACGCCTTCCCCGGAACCGTATATAACAACGCCGACCGCGCGCTCGATCTCTACGGTGACAACATCGAGGTGGACTACAGGGGCTACGAAGTCACAGTCGAGAACTTCATTCGCCTCATGACCGATCGTGTGGGCGAGGATATGCCCCGCAGCAAGCGATTAATGACGGACGAGCGAAGCAACATCCTTGTCTACATGACGGGCCACGGGGGCAACGAATTCCTAAAATTCCAAGATGCAGAAGAAATCAGCGCCTTTGATCTCGCCGATGCTTTCGGCCAAATGTGGGAGAAGAAACGGTAAGCTCCCCCCTAAACCCACATCTCAAACAGGCACGTATACTAAATAAACATTTCAGATACCACGAAATCCTCTTCATGATCGACACCTGCCAAGCAAACACCATGTACTCGAAATTCTACTCCCCCAACATCCTCGCAACAGGGTCCTCTGAAATTGACCAATCCTCATACTCGCACCACGCCGACAACGACGTCGGCGTCGCAGTCATCGACCGCTACACGTACTACAACCTCGAGTTCCTCGAAACAAAAGTAAAAGACCCCACCAGCAAACTCACAATGGGCGAGCTCTTCGACAGCTACGACGAGGAGAAAATTCACAGTCGCCCAGGCATCCGATACGATCTTTTTGCAGGCGGCGAGCAGGAAGCGCGGAATAGGAAGGTTATGGATTTCTTTGGGAACGTCCAGAATGTAGAGGTCGAGGGAAGGAATGAGACGGGGTGGGTACGCGAGCCCGGAAGTGCGAGTGCGACGAAGCTGGCCAAGGCGCATGAGCAGAGCGTGGTGGAGAATGCGAGTTCGCAGCAGCAACAGCCCGTTGTGGAGAGTATACGGAGGGAAGGCGCGTGGAAAGTGGATGAGGAACAAGGGTGGAATAAGCAGGCGTATGGCGCGGCGGCTTTGGTTGGCTGTGCGGGCATATGGCTTGCTGGAAGCTGGTTGGAGTCTTTGTAGAAGTGTACCTGTTGTGTTTTCAAGCAGCTATTTTCTTGTTATTTCTACCCAGTAAAGAAAAAAAGCCGGGGCAAATACCAGCAGTGTGTAGATAGATAGTCTCAACTTTTAGTTTCGGGCGGTGATTAAATGATACCCAATATTTCAAAAGAGATTGATCTTCACCATTGTTCACAAAGAAGTCTTTGGGAAGAAATATCTTCATTGCTATGTTTTTGATTACTACTTATGAGGTATCATGTCCCATGCCCATCCGCCCAATGCACCTTAGTCCCCCGAGACGCCTTTTTGAAAACTGAGTAGAAAGAAAAAGAAAGAAACAAGAAAAAGATAAAAGCCACGCAAGACGCAGCTCAGACGTCGTAAACGCTGTACCCGTTTTTCCCTCTCATAGGAGCCGAATCATGACTCTGTAGTTTTGTCACTGCCATTCCGCTAATGGCCTCATTTAGTATGGGTTAGCCGAACCAGACGTCGTCTCATTAAAACCCGGGGGAACAGTCCAACCATGGACATTGCAAGCCCGCTTATACGCTTCGACTGCTTCACCAACATGATAGTCCGACGGGCCACCTGGCGATAAACGAGCTGGCTTTGGGTCCACGCTGCAAATGGCCATTCGGACCTGAAGGAGAACAGATTCGATAGAGGAAACAGCGCTCCAGCCATCGTTGGTCAGAAGCTCCATGCACATGGCACCACCGGCAGTGACGTGACCACCTCCACCCTGATTGAAGCCAAGGAAGCGAGGGCGGATGACCCGGACGAACGGTGGACTCATTGGATGATCCTTGCCAAAGCGCAACTCCAGAACAATGCTCTTGATACCACTCTTCTTCATATCCTGCGCTAGTGGTAACTTGGGGTCGAACGAGTGGAGCTCCACAATCCATTGATAGATGTTGTCCATCTTGTCTTCGTCAATGTGCCATCCTAGTTCATGAAGTGGCTCCCTGTTCTGGATAGAGATAATATCTCTAAAGTCTTTCATCAAACGCTTGGTAGCAGATGTAGTTGCCCATACTGGCGTCGCAATCATGGGAAGTTTCGAGTAATCCAGAGTGCCAGGGATATAGTCGGTAAGAGGCTTTTGTGGTACCTTCTGGGCTGACTTGCCGAAGATCTTTGATGAGAACGATGAGATAGCTGTCATCTTGGATTTGCCTTTGCCTTCCATGATCGAGTTCGGCGTAGGGATAGACTCCTCAGCGTACTGTGGCTTGAAGCTGTCATTCTCATATTCATCTTCGTCGAAAATGACGAGATCCTCTTCAAGAGTTGCAACGCTGTCTGTATCGTCGTCCTCGCAACCGACCTCTATAGTATCAAACCGGGGCTTCCTAGAAGGCTTCTGCCTCTTGGATAGTCCATACACAGTCGGCTTGTACCGCCGAGATGCGGCAATAGCGTGGATTGGAATAACGAGCGGTCCATCAACGCCAAGAGGGGTTCGACTTGGATCTTGTTCAATAAACTCAAGTGGTTTTGAGACTGGATTAGGTGCAGTGGCACTGGAGATGTCGGCACGTTTTCGTACAAAGAGATAGCGAGTCTGGATCCAATCGAGTTGGGCGACAACCAGATGTGGGTTCTGGCTGACGTACTCCCCTGGAGCATTTACAATTTCGTTCAGAGCCAAGGCTTGCTGGATTTTGAGTTCGCTCATCGGCCACGAAGCGCCTACCTGCATGTTGGAGTATCCTAGACTTGTATTCACATTAGGGGCATGATAGACACCATGCCCATAGGCCCGTCCATGGTGCGTCTCTTTGAAATGAAGACCTTCTCGAATGATGCTATGCCAGTTGTGGAGCGGACTGCCATGCCAGGCAAAAAGAGTGGGGTATCTAAGATGCAGCCTCTCTTTGGTTTGTCGTACTGCCTCAATGAAGCGGCGTTCCTTGTCAGGCGCACCCATTGCGAAACGGAATTGTGCCCAGCCGCCCATTCCATAGACTCGCCCTTCAGCTTTGCGGCCGCCCGGAGAATCTCCCTCATCCACCTGCAAAATACAAGCGCGGTTTGAGGCAATAACCCAACGTAAGATTCCAAGGGCAGCAGAGGGCAGGCGATCAACCCAAGAACTTAGAAGTGACTCTGATTTGCGCAACAGATATTTCCTCATCTCCTCGACAGGCGGAAGCACATGCAAGAGCGACACTATCGTCTCTTGCTTCTCGTGATCTTTGAGATCATCAAAGTTATGATCGTAGAGATAGAAACTCGCAGACCGGAAATGATCTCTCTGGTCCAGTTTTGATTGTATCTTGTTGCTCTGCTGCGGCGCCTGGTCTCTGTATGATGACAACGTATGTGGGTGTATGTCATCGTTGTTCGGGACGTCAACCAACGCGGCAACGACAGGCTTGGATACCTTCACCGATGGGTAAAGTGAAGTATCAATCACGCGACAGTGTATGACTCTATCGATTTCCTCATCCACCCGAATGACTACCCAAGAGCCAGGCGTTACGGGACAAGGCGCCTTTGAGTTTTCGAAAAGCATCTCTAGGTTGCCCTCGTTGAACCGCATACTCATCGCGGCTACTGGCGGAGTATCATACACAGAACGCGGTTGCTCGGTTGCACCATGGTACGGTACGACTTGGTGGTTTCCTTGTTTACTAGATACGGGAGGCGGAACAGCCAAGCTGAGACCAGTAGGAAATTCCTTGAGCCTTCCGGCGCGCGCGCTAGAATAGCAAAAGCTGACTAGTAAATCCACAACCTTGGGCTGAGAGGTTATTTCGTGCTCTATGCTCGGACCAAAGCCCAGTGACATATACTGATACAGACACAGCGGGTTTTCGCAGACGTAGGGCTTGATCGCTTGCAGGTCGTCCGACATCTTGCTGAAGCAAATCAAGCAGAACTCGGTACACCGTACGAAATGCCTTAGCACAAACTGCATGCTGACCAGAGGTAGGGAATGTGGATGGCCGACTGAAGAGGTAATGTGATCGGCGGTAACAATTTTGGGCCAAGTAGTACTGGCACGCTCGTCCTCGTAGTACTTGTCATGCGCGGCGTCATGCTCTCCGTATGATGAATTTAGGAGCACATCGTTATAGAACAGTTCAGCGCCTTGCCATGGCATTCCTCCATAGCGGTACTTCAAGAGCAGGGAGAATCGTTGCTCAAATAGCTCATTCAGGGGCCTGGAAACGAAGGAATTACGGAAGCCGCTCGACTGCGCAGGCAATGTGTTTTGAGATTCGCCCTGTTGGGAATCCTCTCGCTCGTTCTCGTTCTCTTTGTTCACCACAGCAAACGCTGCAACAGCCTCTTGTATGGTCGGCTTGTAGGTTGTCGATACACCGATACGGACTCCAAAGTTGCGGCGAGCTTGATGGGCATCGTAGGACCGGTAGTCATCCATGCTCTTGTACCCTAACGGGTAGTGACATATTGCAACAAGGTATTCCGAAGGCTCAACCTGCCATGCCTTCATCGCTTCTTCTGAGATGCCCAGTTTGGATATGCGAATGGCTAGGGATACATAACATGCCAGGCCCACCATGAGACCTCCTAGATGTCCTACCTTGAAGCCCTCGCTCTTGGCGACTAGAAGGTCATTCCGAATACGGCGCCTGAAGTCAGATGTGACCGCTACAGAGGGCTCGCCCAATCCTGAAGTGTGTGTGATGCGAGGTTTGGGTAGGAGGTCGTCATCACCAGGAAAATAGTCTTCTTCATCTTCGTCATCATCCTCATAACCCTCGAAATCATCAAAATCTTGCGAGCCAACCATCTGGCTATCACCGTCGCCATCAGTCGACTCAAGCCTGCTGGACACAAGCTCGAGAATCTGAGGTATCGTCTTGGCTGTAGCAGCATCGGTGATATCATTGAGCGCGGCAGCAACACCTGCTGAGGCGTTATCCCCTGCGAAGATCATGCAGGTGTGGCTCGAGGGATATTCGGAGACGTCTGTGACGAGGGCGGAGACATTGAGCGGCTGACCATCGGCCATACAAGTGAAGGTGAACTCGCCATCGTCAGCGCCTGGTCGCACATCCGAGATGCCAGCAGCTAGGAGGAGGCCATCGGCAGCCTTCTGGAGGTCGGCCTGAAATTGCCTACGTGGCATCCTGGATTGAGAGAGAAAGAAAGATCAACCTGAGCGTTTGTGGGAGGTTGTAGCACAGTGCCGTGCCGCTTGTCTAGTAGCGACTGCCAGACGCCGGTGTTTCGTGGGTTGCGCAGATTTCAGGTGGCCCAGTAGAGATATAGCGGCGCAGTCTGCGACAAACACAAAGTGAGGGCGAGCTGACTTTATGTAGGTGACGTCAAAGAGCCCTGGTTGTGCCAGCAAGCAAACACTGGAGAAGGCGGACTGGGCAATCGCGAGCAGGATTGCCACTACCGGGTAACTTGAGGGGACGAAAATCACCTCTACGGTTGTGGTAAAACAGTCTTGAAGTTGGCCTTGTTGCTCTGCAAGAGGCTATAAAGAGGAAAAAGAGTAGAAGTGAGCGTCACAAAAGGCTGGCCAAAGTCGTGGTAGGAAGAGAATCACAAGGGCAAAGCGAGAAGAAGGTGATGGCGGAAGAGGAGGAGGAGAATGCGGAGCGGGCACAAAACAAAGACTAACTGTTCACCTCTCTCCCGACAAATATGGCCTAACAGAGACTTGGCAAGGCTCCATGGCGGTGCTGCAGAGCTGCCTGGCAGACGGTCAACGAGAATAGTAATAGTCCCTGGGTTGGGGGGCTCTGATGCCTGGAGATGTGGAGCCTGTGGCTGAGGCCCCCGCAGTCTAGAGTGGAGCTCTCCTACTCACGACTGCCTACTCACCGTTCCTCGCCATTTCTCTGGTCATTGGCCAAACACCAATTGCCATCATCGCGAGAGGCATTCGAATGGTGTGCACGAGAGAAAGACAAGTCTCTCGATAAAGACCAGGGTGCCGTCATCTTGGAGCTTGAAATAGCGCGCCCCTCCCCCACTTTTTTAGGTCCGGGAACGAAGCTTCATCGGCCACTCTTAGTATACAGTTCGTAAAGGCGGGAAATCAAAAAGCGGTCATCTCCCACCAACACTTGCTAATAATAACATAAGATATTAATAATATCATGTGTCTTTTTTTTAAGTGAGAAATGTAGATTCTAATATATATGTTATCTGCTTAGAGTATCTACTTACGCGTAGTAGAGTTATAGTTACTTAAGAAATAAGTAGGTGCTATTTTAGCTCTGTTTTTAGGTGGGTTTGGGGTAGTTTTGCCCTGCTAGGAGGGGCCACTATTTTCCGGTCTTACCGGTTGCATATGAGGGCCAAGTGCAAGGAAGGGTTCCGAGCGTTCGGTACTGCTTCCAGCCCTATCTTGGGACGTCTGCAATACCTTCCCTCCGTACCTCGGCGTCCACCATGGCCGTCTTCCAGGAAAAGCCGGGAACGGCAGCGGCCAAGTCGACACATGTATCCGATCCCGCTCTGGATCCATTCCTCCAATCGCAATTCGACCCCACCGACTACCTCAATGCCACGCTCCCCTCGCTATCGCTAAGCTCAAGATCAAAGACAGGCAATGCCGCCTCGCTGGCTGACCTCTCCTCCCAGACCCAAGACCTCCTCTCACAACTCAACGCACATACGACCCGGTTATCTGCCATACTCACGCAATTGACCGATGACATACTGCGGACTGGCGGGCGGCTGGCTTATGAGGTCGAGGTATTGCGGGGAGAGGCAGTCAGCCTCACAGAGACCCTAACGGATGGTCTAAAGAACGACGTTGAGAAGTTTCTGCCAGGTGGAATCACTCTGAAAGCAGACCCTATAGAAGGAGAACCTGGAAGCCCTGCGCCAGCACAAACAGAAGCCCCCAGCGAAGCATTCCCAGCGCTCGTAGAACCCGAAGACACCACGCCCGAATACATCTCCGACCTTCGCACCCTGACCACGGTCCGCTCGCGCCTTGAGAATGTCATCAAGGTTTTCGGAGAAGCCATGCACTGGACGATCCCTCCTAGCGAGGTATCCCTAGGCGCCTCCCTAATCAGCGTCTCTGCCCCCGAGCCCGGCACCGACAGCGCCTCCCGCGAGCAAAAAGGCAAAGAATTCGCCGCCTCGCTCCGCTCCGAGATTGCCGACCTCATCACAGGCGATCCAGAAGGCGGCATGCACAAGGCCGAGGTGCGCATACAAGCGCTGAGAGATCTCGCTCAGGTATGGAAGGGCACAGCCGAAGAAAAAGCAAGAACAAAGTTCATCGACGGCTTGGTGAAGCTGGCAGAGGACAAGCAGCGCGAGCTGGACAGGGAAAGGGAAAAGAATAAGGATCGAGGCCAGCAGAAGCCAGCTCGTAGCTCTAGTGTCTCAAAGTCACAGCCGCAGCCTCCACAGCAAAGAACCGGGGGCTTTCTGGAAAATCTGCAGAGAATACGAGGCTTTGTGGAATAATACATGCTTTGCTCAATCCATTTACATTGCGAAGCACATCACGTGATCACGCGTCATCGTGCCCTCAACTATCAACACGTCTTTTAATCTGCCCCTCTTTCTCAATGGCATCTAGCAATGGCTCGAATATAAACATCATTCATCTTCATCTGTCGTTATGCTATCCGGGACAAGAACAAAAATCGCCATTGAGTTCATACAAGCAATAAAACTAGGTGTATCTCCCAGCTATTCCTAGGCTTAGACGGTTGCCCCGCAGCAAGGGCGGAACGTGGCACCCCAAATCAAAGACCAACAAAAAAACACTAAGCAGCCGTAAAATTAAACGTATGCGGATCGCAACGTGCCCAAAACGCCCATTCTGATGTCGGGGTATCTCAATGACCAAACTCCCATGTGCTCCAATCCTAACCAAATGCCCATCAAACTCAGATTGTGGGGATGCCCTCGAGAACAGCCATAGCACGTTGACCCTCTGCCTCGAATGCCAGTATCTGTTGTTCGCAGGCCATGCGGAGTTTTTCTTCGCCCCTCTTTGCGTTATGCAGAACCCATTGTTCAATCGTCATGCGCTTCTCTTCGTCTGTCAGGCTAGCCATAACGTATTCGTAAAGTTCTTCAGGCGTCATGTCTGCTGTCTGAACGTTGTCCAGACCAGAATCAGCAAGGATTTCGCTGAGATAACCGTGGGCCTCTTCCTGAGATGTGATTACGGCATCAACGTCGGCAGGCTTCCAGTTGATGGGTTCTGGTATGTCATCTGCTTCACTCATCATAGGCGGTGTCCTCTTGGGTGTTCCGACTGCTAGGTCCGCCGGCAGGCTCGACATGTCAAAGTCGTCCATGACAGTGTCCCTGATTCCGGTCGGTGTCTTCTTAGGCGTTCCCACAGGAAGATCGCTAGGGAAACTTTCAATGCTCGAGGATCGCACACGTTTCGGCGCAGGCTGGATGACTTCAGAGTACTCGGTTTCCTCAACTGCCTCGCTCGTCCGCTTCTTGCCACGTGTGGCTCTCTTGCTTGCTGTAGATGCTGTTGACGAGCGGGTTGAGGCACGCTTAGCTTTGGAAGCACGCTTGGCTTTCTTGGGTGCTGGGGCGGGTTTGTAGAGTTCGGAGAGGACAAAGAAGAGACATTCAGGAGATCTTCGACGGTGCTCCTGCATAGGATCATCACCGATATCCCATGCGTCTAGTGCTAGAGAGCAGTATGGGCAGGTAACGCCATCGGGTGTGTCTGTTGCAGGGTCGTAGAACCAGCCGGCGTCCACCATTTGGTCGACACTGGGGTAGCCAGCTGCGACGTCGAGTGGCCACATATCGCCAAAGGTTGAGCGGCGTGCTGCCACCATGGCTTCTGAGGTCGGGTCATCTTCAGTCCTGCCAGGATCGCCCGCACGGAGACGGATACAGGCGATTGTTGCGAAGCCACAGCTTGGGGAATGTGTTGAGTGTTCGTATGCAGGAACGTCCGCTTCCTCCCAGCCGTCTAGTTGGCACTCGCAGCTGAAGCATTGTACGTTGTCGGGGCTCGTAGAGGTAGGCTTCCATACAAAACCGGCATACGCCAGATCCTGTGCCGAGGGTGCTGTAAGGGGCCATGAAGCCTTTGATTTTGTTCCTGCCTTTTTAGATCTGTTGCTTGTACGTCGTCCCTTGCCTGTCGTAGCTGCTCCCTCAAAGGTGGCTAGACGCGCCTGGTAAGAAGCCAGGGACGCATCCATGGCGTTAGTAGGAGTGATGGTAGTTGTGGAAAGTTTTGAGTTTTGAGTGTTGGTTTTGCTTTTTTACTCGGCTGGTTATAGAAGATAAAGATGTGTTTTGCAATACTGAATATTGCGAGTCTCGAGTGGTGTGTGCTGGGTGAGAATGGAGAAAGAAGTCGCGTCTCCAGACGCGGCAGGCCGACCACAAACATCTGATCCGCCAAGACATGTGGAGCAACAACACGCTTACGTCATCCGTTCGTTCACTTTGCGCGACTTGAGGCATTATCCTCCCAACAAGATGTATCGCCGCCAACCAACATTTCGGATAGCCTGGTGTAGAAGGCCTCTGGCGCAGGTCAATCGCCGCTTTATATCATCCGAGAAGACAACACCTACGGACACTCCCCATGCATTCCAATCGCTGCCACCAGACTGGGAAGATGAAGCTCCCTCGCTGTCGGACTTTACAGAGCTCCCGCATAAGGACTTTGGCAAAAATCAGTTGATGCAAACGAACGAAGACTTTAAACGGGCATTGCGAGGCATACTACGGAAATTCCCGCCAGTCACATACGCATTTGCCTACGGCTCTGGCGTCTTTCCTCAGTCGGCTGCGACAGCTTCGCGAACGACTCAATCGCCTCACCCGAACCCTCCCGATGCGATATTGAAATGGCAAAAAGGAGGTGGAAAGATGATTGATTTTATCCTGACGCCTCGCTTCTCTCAACACTTCCACTCGCTCAATCTACGCGAACACAGAGATCATTATTCATTTCTTGGATCGCTCGGCTCAGGAGTCGTCAGCCATGTACAGGAGAAGTACGGCGCAGGTGCTTACTTTAACCCGTATGTTATAGTGAACGGAACAATGATCAAATACGCCGTCGTCAACTACGAAACGCTCCTTCGCGACCTTACCGAGTGGGACACATTATACTTCGCCGGCCGCCTGCACAAGCCCGTTAAAATCCTC